TTGGTGAATTCTTTTTCATATGAATTAGGTTTAACCTTGTCTTTTACTTCCAGAAATGCAGTTGTGACTCTTATGCTCTAGCATCATCTACAGGCCAAGCAGCACAAAACAGGTTCAGGCATACTTTGCTGACATCAGTAACTATTTAGATTATAGCTATGAAAACTAGAGAAAATGTGAACTAAAGTGCAGCTGCCTACAGTAACCAATCAGGTTTTGTCTTTTATTCTCTGAGAAAATGGAACAAGAAATGACACTGGTCACTATTAACACCACAATAAGAAACAATTTGAAATGTATCTTGTCCAGTTTAAATATATAGGCCTCCCTTTCTGCAAGACATTATCAAAAATTAGTTTACCAATCAGGCACTGCTGTTATGTCTCTGTAACCACACATGAATGCTTCTTTATTACGAAGCAGCATGTATGTGCAAGTAAAATAGGATAGACTGTCGGCATTCGACATTACTCCAAAAATATTACTTTAATCTTCAGACATTAATACATTAGGCAACCTCTGACGCGTTTCTGTCTTAAAGGAGATCTATGAGGTGAGTGATTTCCACTCATCCTCATAGTAAGAGCCGACCTGTGACGAAGAAGCTGTCACAGGTCGCTCTCTCGATCGGGAAGTGAGCAGAAACATGCACAAATCCGCTTACTTCCCAATCATCTTCCTGCTGTGAACGGTGACTGTCAATCACAGCTCCCCGCAGGAATTCCCCCTCCCCTCTCTCCGATCCTCGAGCGCTGACTGGAGGATCGGATGGGGCATGCTGGTGGGTGGAAAAGGAGCCAACCGCATGAATAAACTAATAAAGCATAATCTGGGCTTCATCAGCTTCTTTAGGGTCCATAGGTGACATCAGGGGTCTAATAGATGCCTGATGTCTCTATAAAGAGGACCTATCACCAGGGCCATCCTTATAATGAGGCAGTCTGGGGCTGTTGCCTCAGACGGCATCTCTTCAGGTGATGTGGGGGGGCTGCACAATGTTTGCCACCGCCTTTCCAGCCAGCGCATCCCAGGTTGCTAAGAGCCAGCCAGGGAGATGTGTAAGGGCCATACACATCCCCCCGCCCAGTTCTTAGCAACCTGGGACGCTCTGGCCAGAGTTCCGCTCAACTTCTGACAACCAGTGACTGCTTGCCAG